CAAAATGTGGTAATCTTTACTTAACATATGCTAAATTGATCTTCTGTATATAAAGATAATTGAAAATAAAAAAAAAAATAGATGACAAGGGGCCGGTTTTGTGGTGTAGAGGGTGAAGCTGCCACATGCAGTGCCAGCAACCCATATGGACACTGTTCAAGTCCTGGCTGTTCCACTTCTGATCTAGCAATCTGCTATGGCCTGGGAAAGTAGTAGAAGATGGCCCAAGTCCTAGCTCCTGGCTTCGGATCAGCATAGCTCTGGCCATTGCAGCCAACTAGGGAGTGGACCAGTGGATGGGAGACCTCTCTCACTGCCTCTGCTTCTCTCTGTGTGTAACTCTGACTTTCAAATAAATAAATGAATCTTAAAAAAATTTAGATGACAATATAATTTTAGAGGTAACAAAAAGCTAGGATGTTTTAAAAAACAGTTGGATACCTCGTTGTTAGAGAAAAGTAATGCAGCAGGTAGGGAGCTGGAGATTCTGACCCCTAGTTTTTCCTAACAAATTCATCTGTTTGTTCATTCATATGCTTATTTGACAAATTGTTATTGAGTACCACACTCTGCGGACTCATGGATGGAGGGTAGGGCTTAAGGTAGATTTTAAGCAAATAAATGATTACATCTTTTGGACCCTGACCTTGTGGAATAGGTTATATATTTATTATCTGGAATGGATAGAAACAACCACTTATTATATTCTGCTTTTAGAGAACTTTGTGTCCAGTTTGGCTTCTAAATTTTAATTCAGATCTTTGGGAATAATGATAAATAATTTTAGACTAGGACAAGACAGTACTTGAAGGACATTAGGATCTGTGAGAATACCTTGAAGATAGTGGAAATGGTTCACCAGGACATTAACGACAGAAACAATGGTGAAAGAAGCTGCGTTCCTGAACACCTACCACACGTGTGTTATAGACAAGGCACTTAGCAGATAGTTAGCCTGTATCCTAATGGCCTCCAGAAAGGGCAGTATAAAACCTACATTATACATGCCACACTTGTGAATAACCTCCCAAAGGCATGTGGCCAGGCATGAAGAATGAACCTCTCCATCTTTTGTTACAGTTAGATATCTGAGCTTGTTACAGTCAACTTAAAGCTGGGTAGGTCAATAATCACAGACCCCTCCTCCCACATGTATACATTCAAAGAATACTCAGCTTCTTTATTTGTGTGAGTTTTTTCTTCTGCACCACTGAGCTACTTATGCGAGTGCGTACCTGCGTACAAGTTTGTGTACTCTCTCACACACACACCCACCCCCACATTCTCTCCTTTACTCCATCGTTTCACTGCCAAGCTATGGACTCAGGACTCAGCTGATTTGTTCTGAGAGTCCTTTCTTCGTTCATTAACCTTCAGTGGCTGCCCACTGGTTGTAGAAAATCAAGGTCAAGGGCCGATGTCTGATAAGGCCTTTCACACCCATCTCTGGTGTTGACAGACACACAGCAAACCTTCCTTCACTGCCCTTTTGCTGCTTTGCTGCAGGTTCCATTGCAGAAATTCACGAATGATCTTCACTTACTTCTGCACTTACTTCACAGAGTTTCTGGGTTCCCTGCAGAGTATGTCAATACCAATCTTTATATATATATATGAAATATATAATACCCACTTATATATATTATATATTTAATATATAATGTATAATACATATACAACACATTATATATAATATATGATATATCATATAACACATATAATATAATAATACATAATAAAGCATGGTTATACAATAAATAATATATAATATGTAATATATTATATATCATATATTGCGTTTATGTATATCTAATATAATTTTATAATATATTATATTATATATTATATATTATATATAATGCCTATATACTATATATTATATATAATACATATATAAAGATCTATATATATCAGAGTAGCTACTGGAGATGAAAACTGTTTTCCTGTCCAGCAGAAACTTGCTATTCCAATTTGTATTTCTGCTCTTCACCCTCACTGAGCCCCTGTTTAGGGTGAGGGGACTTAGTAGCTGCTCTGAGTCCGTAACCTCATGCCTCTGCATTGTTTGCTCATCTTACCCTGCTGCTGCAAGTTCCCTTTGTCACCTAGGTCAGCGCTGTCTCCTTTGAGATGGTTCCTTGCTTCCTCCAACTGTAGACAGTGTCTTTCTTTGGAGTTCCAGAGCACGTTCCTGGTCTTTCTCTTGGGACAGTGCCTTTATTTCCCTTTGAATTTTAGGTTGCACCTGACTTCTACATTTTCAGGACCAGTATTAGTCATCATTAAGTGTGGAGAACAGTGACAAGGGTTCGTGTCTCAACTTGCATTAAAATCTTTACTTATCCACAGCTGATATTTGAACAGCTCTGATTTATTTCAGGTTGTGGGCGCTCCTTTGCACGGCTGTCTCATAGCCTTTTTCTAGGCTGAGTAATTATACTCTAATCACTCATTTCTGAGCATCTACAGGCAGGAAATGCACTGTATCTTAGTATCATCAAGTCCTAAGACAACTGCCTAGAACTATAAACTCCCAATAAATAATTATTATTTAATAATGGATAACAAAGTAGAAGAGGAAAAGAGGAGGCGGTAAGTGGACCTGAGGACAGCCCTCGGAGAGTACACCTGGTGGTGTCTGCTTCAGAGGCTCCCATCTGCTGAGGGCTGCCCCTGTGGTGACATTTGTGGGCGCTGAGAGCAATTTAATTCTGTTAAACTGAACAATTTAATTCTGTTACTGCTCATGTGAGATACTAATCCTTCGAAACACCTGCAATCAGCAAAATGATTAACTCATTCCAGAGAAGCCTGTGTCTTTCTTAGACTGAGTTTGCTGGGACAAATCCTATGGCAATTATGAAGTTAGGAAATCCCACTGCATTTCCCTTTCCAGTCCAAAGCAGCAGAAGCCACTTTGGGTATTTTCCCTTTTTCTTAATCTCACCCTACATGTTGCTATGTGAGTACTTTTCTTTTCTTTTCTTTTTTTTTTTTTAAAGATTTATTTATGTGAGAGGTAGAGTTACAGAGGGAGAGGTCTTCTACTCACTGATTCATTCCTCAAATGTCTGCAATAGCCAGAGCTAGGCCGATGCAAAGCCAAGTAGCCAGGAGCTTCTTCCTGGTCTCCCACATGGGTGCTGGGGCCCAAGCACTTGGGCCATCTTCTGCAGCTTTCCCAGGCCATAGCAGAGAGCTGGATCAGAAGAGGAGCAGCCAGGACTAGAACCAGCACCCATATGGGATGCTGGCGCTGCAGACGGAGGCTTAGCCTACTATGTCACAGCGCTGGCTTTCACCACAATACTTTCACCTAACCCAAAACTACACTGCAGATTGTCCTTTCTCTCTGTTCCCCACCCTCTTTCCCCCTTGACACCTTCCTGTTGTGCATTTAATATGTTAAACCACATTTTGACATCTTTAGCTTCTTTACTGGAACCTGGCACCTCTTGGCTGATCTGAAAGCCGACAGCCCCTTGAGCTGCTGGATCTTACTTGACCCTTTTCAATGGCCTTGCCCTATTCTTCCCAGCCCACATAGCTTCAAACTGAGCGTTCCTATCAGCAAACGTTTTAGTCTGCCTGCCACTTTTGAAATGCTTGCCATCTAAAAATTACAGCTCCTTGAAATCCGTACCTCTTTCACTAGTTGTAAACTCCGAACATCTACCTACATGCTCTACTGTGGTAACATCAGTTACTTTCAGTACACCAAAGCCTGTATTTCTCATCTGGATATCCCTTGTGTGGTCTGGATGGTCAAATTCAAGTTCTTCCTTTAGTAGTCCATTTTGATGGCCCATTAACATCGCAGACTCAACCGGGACTGGACTCATTTTAAACATCCTTGATGCCCTCCCCAAGCCTGTTCTTTTGTCTGTTACTTAGCTGAGCTATCTGGTAAACTCATTCTCATTGAGTTGTAGGAAATTGTTGGAGCTCCAGGAGACTGGGGAACAATGTTTAATATGAAGGAATTCTGCTTCCTAATTTTGTTTGCCTGCTCCCAAGTTTTGTTTTCTTTTTTTTTCAATATATATTTGTTTATTTGAAAGGTAGAGTTACAGAGAAAGAGGGAGAGACAGCAAGAGACCCCTCCATCTGCTGGTTCACTCCCCAAATGGCTGCAACGACCAGGGCTGGGCCAGGCTGAAGCCAGGAGCCAGGAGCCTCCTCCAGGTCTCCCACATGGGTGCAGGGACTCAAGGACTTGGACCACACTCTGTTGCCTTCCCAGGTGTACTAGCAGGGAGCTAGCTTGGAAGTGGAGCAGTAGAACCTGAACAGGCCCCCATATGAGATGCTGGTGCTACAGGCCTTGGCTTAACCTGATGACACACAGTGCCCCCCTCCCCACCCCAGTTTTGTTTTCTGCAGTTTTAGTTAACCATAGTCAACTGTGGTCAAAAAATATTAAATGGAAAATTCCAGAAATACATAGCTCATATGGAGGCTGGCCCTGTGGCATAGTGGGCTAAGCTTCTGCCTGCAGTGCCAGAATCCTATATGGGCGCTGGTTCTAGTCCCAGCTGCTCCTCTTCCGATCCAGCTCTCTGCTGTGGCACAGGAAAGCCGTGAAAGATCCCCAAGTGCTTGGACCCCTGCACCCACGTGGGTGACCTGGAGGAGGCTCCTAGCTCCTGGCTTCGGATCGGCTCAGCTCCAGCCATTGCTGCCATCTGTGGAGTGACCAGTGAGAGACCTTTCTCTCTCTCTCTCTCTCTCCCTCTCTCTGTAACTCTACCACTCAAATAAATAAATAAAATCTTTTTAAAAATAGCTCATATGTGCTAAATTGCATACAATGGAGTGATGAAAGCTTGTGCTAATTGTCTTGCTCTGTCCTACCCCAGACATGAACAATGCCTTTATGTGACATATCCATGCTATAGAAGCTACCTGCTCGTCAGTTGTTTCGTAGCTATCTGTTGTTGAACGGGATGTTGGTTTGTCACACTTGTGTTCAAGTGACTTCTGTTTGCTTAATCCCCAAGGTGCAAGAGTAGTGATGCTGGCAAATCAGATATGCTTAAAAGACGTCATAGTGCGTCTTCTTGAAGTAAAAAGGAGAGAGTGATCAACTTAATAAGGAAAGGAAAAAGTCCTATGCTACAGTTGCTGAGTTCTATGGTAAGAGAAAATGTTTATGAAATTTTGAAAAAGGAAAAAGAATTCATACAGTTTTGCTATTGCACCTCAAACTGCAGAGAAATATGGTCCATGACTCATAAAGGGAAGCTTAGCAAGATTTTAAGAGACCACATTCACGTGACATTCATTGCAGTATAATATTATGATTGTCCTATTTTATTATCAGTTATTGTTATTGATCTGTTTCTGTGCCTGATTAATAAATTAAACTTTATCATAGGTATGCAAGTGTAGGAAAAAATAGCATGGTACTTCCTATGTGAAATTTCAGGCATCTATTGGAGCGCTTGGATAAGAGGGGCTCACGGTAATATGAGTAGATTCTCATTAGCAAACAAAAGAGAACAAATGGGGACTTTATGCGAAAAAATTTCTAACAGCAAGTAAGTTATTCTTTTTCGGAATACTCATGCTGCTTTGATCGGAGTCCTTAGGTATACATCTCTCCCAGCTGAGGACAGGGAGGTTTCCTTCATGTTTGGACCACTTGGTGGTAGCACAATGCTTCATGACCAGTAATTTGTAGTGATAGTTTTCTAATTAGATGTTCCTCAGGGGTTCCTTTCTCATCCACCAATTAACAATGGTAGCAATTTATGTCAGAAATTCTGTGCTTTAACTCAGAAATCTAAAATCATTTCCAGGAAAATTGTGTAATTGTCCTTGGTAAAATATTCAGTCATTGTAATAGTTTTGCCTATATCATAGTCATCCCTGGCCAAAGATGCACATTCTGGGAAGGGCTATTTTCATACAGATTCACCCACACTGCTCTATTAGTCTTCCGGACGATATTTGTACCATGAAAGAGGATACAAATAAACTCACACAGAACAAACTGCTGCTTGCTATCATGACATCAACAGTCATGTGTATTTGTGCTTTATGGAGACAGCAGCCATTTAGTATGAAGACTTAATCAAGATGAAGCTTTGTTCCAGAACCTGAGCAACTTGAAAACAAGTTCCCTGGACAACTGGGAAGAGGAGCTGGGATTTAGCATGTAGCTGAGGGAATTGCCAAAGCCTGCAGCTACGTCGTGCTTCTTCCTCCTTGGAACCCTCCCATTTTAGCAGATCCACCAAGTGCCCATAAGTATCCTCTACCAACCCAATTTTTTTTAAAAAAAATGCATTTATAGTTTTCTTTATTTGAAAGGCAGACAAAGAACGATAGAGACAGAGAGAGATCTTCTGTCCACTCCCCAAATGCCTGTAATAACTGGAACTGGATCAGGCGGAAGCCAAAAATCACAAACTCAATCCAGGTCTCCCATGTGGGTGGCAGGGACCCAAGTACTTGAGCCACCATCTGGTGCCCCCCAGGGTTTGCATTAGCAAAAAGCTCGAATCAAAAGTGGATCGGGGTGGGGGCAGCATTGTAGTTGTGGCCAGGGGGTTGGGGCAGTTAAGCCAGGGCCTGCAATGCTAGCATTCTTCCCATTTGGACACCAGTCTGAGTTCCAGCTGCTCTGCTTCAGATCCGGCTCCCTGCTCATGTGCCTGGGACAACAGTGGACGACAGCCCAAGTAACCATGTGGGCAACCTGGAGGAAGCTCCAGGCTCCTGGTTGCTGCCTGACTCAGCCCTGACCACTGCAGCCATTTAGGTAGTGAAGCAGTGAGTGGAAGCTCTCTCCCTTCCTCTCTCTTTAACTCTGCCTTTTCAATAAATACATAAAATCTAAAAAAAAAAAGTGGATCTGGGATTCAAACCCAGACACTCCCATACAGGATGCAGGCATTTCAAATGGTGTCTTAGCTGTGCCAAATGCCTGTCCCACAATCCAAGCTTTGAAGAAAATCTATATGCAAATCCTCTCAGCTTCCTCCTGCCAACAAAAATGTATAAGGGTACTTGAAAAAGGTTTTGGAAAATGGAATTAAAAGGTAATTTTATTTTTGTGTAAAATATTTTGAAATCTATGCATAGATTGTTTTTTTTGCATTTTTTTATTTTTTTTATTTTTTTTAACTTTTATTTAATGAATATAAATTTCCAAAGTACGATTTATGGATTACAATGGCTTCCCCCACATACTGTCCCTCCCACCCACAACCCTCCCCTTTCCCACTCCCTCTCCCCTTCCATTCACATCAAGATTCATTTTCGATTATCTTAATATACAGAAGATCAGCTTAGTATACATTAAGTAAGGATTTCAACAGTTTGCTCCCACACAGAAACATAAAGTGAAAAATAATAGATGATTTTTTTTAAATGATGATGAAATCAGATCAGACCTATTGTCATGTTTAATCCCAGTGAGAGTCAAGTTGGGAGTTGATAATTTCTTTTTCTTTTTTTTTTTTTTTTTTTTTTTACAGAGGATCAGTTTAGTATGCATTAAGTAAGGATTTCAACAGTTTGCACCGCCATAGAAACACAAAGTGAAATATATTGTTTGAGTACTCGTTATAGCATTAAATCTCAATGCACAGCACATTAAGGACAGAGATCCTACATGAGGAGTAAGTGCACAGTGACTCCTGTTGTTGACTTTACCAATTGACACTCCTGTCTATGGCATCAGTAGTCTCCCTATGCTCCAGTCATGAGTTTCCAAGGCTATGGAAGCCCTCTGAGTTCTCCGATTCTTATCTTGTTTAGACAAGCTCATAGTCAAAGTGGAGGTTCTCTCCTCCCTTCAGAGAAAGGTACCTCCTTCTTTGAAGACCTGTTCTTTCCACTGGGATCTCACTCGCAGAGATCTTTTGCCAGAGTGTCTTGGCTTTCCATGCCTGAAATACTCTCATGGGCTTTTCAGCCAGATCCGAATGCCTTTAGGGCTGATTCTGAGGCCAGAGTGCTATTTAGGACATCTGCCATTCTATGAGTCTGCTGAGTATCTCACTTCCCATGTTGGATCACTCTCCCCTTTATTTATTCTATCGGTTAGTGTTAGCAGGTACTAGACTTGTTTATGTGCTCCCTTTGACTCTTAGTCCTTTCATTATGATCAATTGTGAACTGAAATTGATCACTTGGAATAGTGAGATGGCATTGGTACATGCCACCTTGATGGGATTGAATTGGAATCCCCTGGTATGTTTCTAACTCTACCATTTGGGGCAAGTCAGCTTGAGCATGTCCCAAATTATACATCTCTTCCCTCTCTTATTCCCACTCTTATGTTTAACAGGGATCACATTTCAGTTAATTTTCAACACTTAAGAATAACTGTGTATTAATTACAGAATTAAACCAGTCATATTAAGTAGAACAGACAAAAAAACTACTAAGAGGGATAATGTATTAAGTTGTTCATTAACAGTCAAGGCTATGCTGATCAAGTCACCGTTTCCCATAGTGTCCATTTCACTTCAGGAGGTTTCCTTTTTGGTGTTCAGTCAGTTGTCACCGATCAGGGAGAACATATGGTATTTGTCCCTTTGGGACTGGCTTATTTCACTCAGCATGATGTGTTCCAGATTCCTCCATTTTGTTGCAAATGACTGGATTTCGTTGTTTCTTACTGCGGTATAGTATTCTAAAGAGTACATATCCCATAATTTCTTTATCCAGTCTACCGTTGATGGGCATTTAGGTCGGTTCCAGGTCTTAGCTATTGTGAATTGAGCTGCAATAAACATTAGGCTGCAGACCGCTTTTTTGTTTGCCAATTTAAATTCCTTTGGGTAAATTCCAAGGAGTGGGATGGCTGGGTCGAATGGTAGGGTTATCTTCAGGTTTCTGAGGAATCTCCAGACTGACTTCCATAGTGGCTTGACCAGTTTGCATTCCCACCAACAGTGGGTTAGTGTCCCTTTTTGCCCACATCCTCTCCAGCATCTGTTGTTGGTAGATTTCTGAATGTGAGCCATTCTAACCGGGGTGAGGTGAAACCTCATTGTGGTTTTTATTTGCATTTCCCTGATTGCTAATGACCTTGAACATTTTTTCATGTGCCTGTTGGCCATTTGGATTTCCTCTTTTGAAAAATGTCTATTGAGGTCCTTGGCCCATCTCTTAATTGGGTTGTTGGTTTTGTTTTTGTGGAGTTTCTTGATCTCTTTGTAGATTCTGGTTATTAACCCTTTATCTGTTGCATAGTTTGCAAATATTTTTTCCCATTCTGACGGTTGTCTCTTCACTCTCCTGACTGTTTCTTTTGCAGTACAGAAACTTCTCAATTTGATGCAATCCCAATAGTTGATTTTGGCTTTGACTGCCTGTGCCTCCCGGGTCTTTTACAGAAACTCTTTGCCTGTGCCAATATCTTGAAGGGTTTCTCCAATGTTCTCTAGTAACTTGATGGTGTCAGGTCGTAGATTTAGGTCTTTAATCCATGTTGAGTGGATTTTTGTGTAAGGTGTAAGGTAGGGGTCTAGATTGTTTTGGATACACATTTTTTCATGAACTTTTTGAAGACCCCTTATATGCATGGATTTCAAAAAATTTTATACTAAACTTTCAATCCCATTTCCCACTTTTAAAAGTATCCTTTTATGATCCATCATATCCTTGTTTTTTATAACTGTCAACAGAAGGCTTTACATTTTATGGGTATAAATGATGATTATGACTTTTAAAGTTCTAGAAACTAAATAAACAGACAAACTGCCCTTTAATTTAATCTTACCACTCTCAGACACTTGAAATCTTGAAATATTCTAATTATCCTTCATTATCTTTGAGCTTAAAGAAAATGTTATTTTCCTAATTTTTAAGTTCTGATGCATTGGCACTAGCCAGCCAAAAGTGATAAATGGTCTCAGCAGATTAAAAGGTAATTTTGATTGAAGAAAACAACCTGCAGAAATGTATGCTTCTGTATAATCTGTGTGATTAAATGTTACTTGTTTCAAAGCTAATGTTTCTGACACTTTCAATTACAGCTTTTGGAAGTTTTATTCCACATCATTTAATCTATTTTAAATAACTTTCTCTTTCAGACTTTGCACACCGTGATGCATATTTAGCGTCAATCTCCAATGCAAATTTGGAAATAATCTCTGTCCAGTCTCTAGTAAAACTCATTTTATATGGAGATCACAAAGTTTAAATGCTAAATCCACAATCTTCTTTGTATAATTCAGAAAGTATTGGGTCTAAGTATAAGGACTATCGTCCTTTTTTTGAAAAATGTTTAAAAAATAACAATTCGCCATCTCAATCATTTTGAAAAGTGTAATTCAGTAAGGTCGACTAAATTCACTTTGTTGTGTAACAGATCTATAGAACTTTTTCATTTTGTAAAACTGAAACTCTGTACCTATCAATATCACCTCCCCATTTCTCCTTGCCCTTGGCTCCTGACAACCATCATTCTCCTTTTTGTTTCTATTTGTAGTGTGTGCTGTGGGAAAGTTGATTACTTTAGATAACTCATATAAATAAGATGATACAGTCCCTGTCTTTCGAGACTGTATTGTTTCATTTATGATAATGTGCTTAAGGATAATCCATTTTGTAGCATATGACAGGATATCCTTTTTAAGATTGAATGGTATTTCATCCTTTGTCTACTCTTCATTTTCTTTATCTGTTAATCTGTCTATGGACATTTAGGCTGCTTCACTCTCTTAGCAGGGGCTGGTGCTGTGGCACAGTGGGTAAAACCGCCACCTGCAGTGTTGGCATCCCATCTGGACTCTGGTTGGAAACCCAGCTGCTCCACTTCTGATCCAGCTCTCTGCTATGGCCTGGGAAAGCAGTAGAGAATGGCCCAAGTGCTTGGGACCCTGCACCATTATAGGAGACCCAGAAGAAGCTCCTGGCTTGTGGTTTTGGATTGGCCAATGCAGCCATTTGAGGAGTGAACCAGCAGATGCAAGACTTCTCTCTCTTCTCTGCCTCTGCCTCTCTGTAACTCTGCCTTTCAAAAAAATAAAATAAATATTAAAAAAAATCTCTTAGCAATTGTGAATAATGATCAAGGAACATGGATGTGCTAACATCTCTTCAAGATTCTGCTCTCAATCCCCTTGAATGCATAGTGAGAAATGGTATTATTGAACCAAATGCTAATTTTTTACTATTTGAAGATGCTTCAAATGTTTCTCTATTGGCTGCACCATTTTATATTCCCATCAAGTTATTGTCCACAAGGCATATGATATTAACTAAAAATTGAATGATCCTACTAATTATTAAATAATAACAAAATGCAAATACAAGATCATTAGATTGTCATACAGCTAAGCTTTCAGTATTTTACATTAGTTTGAAACAGCAAATTTAATAATGTACTATTTTCCCACTGCCAAGGTTTGTATTGTTTTAAATTAGGGATTGAAGCATCAGAGCAATGGTTTCCCAATAAACTGATTTAAAAGAGGTTTCCATGGAATACACAGGAACTACTGTTTCTAGACAACCTCCACAGTCTGGTGAGAACTGGATGAGAGTCTGGAGAGTTGAGGTTGAGTGGCAGTGCCCCCATTAAGTGCACCATGATGCCTTGAGTTCAGCCGCAACCTCCTGCTCTGGTAGGAAGCTCACTACATGGAGGCCCCACCTAAAATGTGGCATTGCATCTCATTATAGCAGTTTTCTTCTTTTTCTAGTTCCTATGAGTCAGTGTCCAGGTCACTCCTGTTGGAAAAAGGGCCTGTAGCCATTGCCACTTTTCTTGATAAGAAAACCTGCCCCAATCTCCCTGGGAGTGTGTATTGTCAACATGGGAATTTTACCATAGGTCTGTACGTTATAAAATGATTTCCTACATATGAAGCTGCTTTAGACCCAAATTGTTCTATAGAGTTAATGCAATTCAAGATCCAGTAAGATTTTCTATAAATGTACACACGCTTATTCTAAAATATATATGGGAAGACTTAAACCTAGAATAGATTAAATTAAACAATTATGAGGGGCTGGCACTGTGGTGTAGTGGGTAAAGCCGCTGCCTGCAATGCCAGCATCCCATATGGGTGCCTATTCCAGTCCTGGCTGTTCCTCTTCCAATCCATCTCTCTGCTCTGGCCTGGGAGCAATGGAAGATGGCCCAAGTTCCCAAGTTCTTGTGCTCCTTCACCCACGTAGAAGACCTAGAAGAAGCTCCTGGCTCCTGGCTTCAGATCGGCCCAGTTCCGGCCATTGTAGCCATTTGGGGAGTGAACCAGCAGATGGAAGATTTTTCTCTCTCTTTAGCTGCCTCTGCCTCTCTGTAACTCTGCCTTTCAAATAAATAAATAAACAAATATTTAAAAAAATTTTGAAAGATTGGAATACATTTGGAAGAATCATCTAATTTTAAGATTTGCCATCCAAAAGGTCTTCAGAAAGTTCATAGACATTAGAAAAGCCTATGCATGAATTTCAAAGCATTTTTGTACCAACGTAAGCTTATCTTTTAATTCCATTTTCCGTGAACTTGTTGATGTTTCCTCATGTAGCAGCACTAAGACAATGCATATTCCTCTACCAATACGGTAGAGGAATAACCACATAGGTCATTGGAACAGAGAGCTTAGAAATAAACCACAGAAACACACTCATCTGATTTTTAAAAGTACTTTAATAAGTAAATGTCTCATGTTAGCACAAACTGGCATTTTTGTTCATTTCAGCCTCTCTGCTTCTGTATTTTTGTTTGCAGCACCTGCCCTGATTTGTAGTTCCATCTTCTCCAATTGTATGCTTCTCTCCTCAGTGAAAAACTTCACTGACCATTCCAACCTGAAATAGCATCTTCTACCTGCAGGCCTAGGACAAGGCATTTATTATTTTAGCTTCTCATTTCAGGCCATGGGTCTAAAATGGGAAATCCAAAGCTTTCAGCATTCAGATGAAAGCAGAAGGTAGTAGTAGAGGAAAAGCTGGAAGGTAAGAAATTGTTGTGGGCTGATTTTCTCTGTTCAACATCACAATTTTTCTGAGAAATGTCAATAAAACAAGCTATAAGTTTATTGAACACAAAAACTATTTTTATTTATTTACTGTGAACGCATTCATTTATCTGATGGATGAATTGGGTGCTGATTCTATCAGATACTGAGCTATGAAAACACAAATGCAAAACAAACAAACGTGATCGTTGGACTTTTGTGTCCCCTCCTCATCCCACCCCTGGCCAGCTAGCATAGGGTAGATCTTCAAGTCATCATCTTAGGAAGTATTTATTGACAGATTGACTGGATGAGTCAATGGGGTTATTGAATAAAGGCATAAAATAAGAGCCTCATGTTTAGGACGGAAAGACATTCCTGTATAGAATATTCTGTACTCAAAATTTGTCTTCCAAAGTCTTTTTATTATTTATTTTATTTACATAAAAGGAAGAGAAAGAGAGAGAGAGACAGAGACAGAGAGAGAGAGAAACTTCCATCTGCTGACACATTCCCAAAATGGCTGCAACAGCCGAGACTGGGCTAAGCCAAAGGCAGGAGCTTGGAATTCCATCCAGGTCTCCCACATTGGTGGCAGGAGCCCAGATACTGGGGCCATCTTCCACTCCCTTGTCAGGAGCATGAGTGGGAGATGGGATGCCACCTTCACAGGCAGCGGCCTTAACCTGGTGCACACAACGCTGGCCTCAACATAATATTGGAAAGTGAAAACAGATCTCTGGCTACTCACAGGTCCCAGGCTGAGAACTCAGGTCTCCAGCACAATGATGATATGAGTGAAGCAGAGGGTCTCTTCTTTGTGTGTTCCCTGAGGCTTGACACTTACTGAACAGATTCCCCACTTAGTGATCATCACACCTACCCTAAATGTGGTAAATATACAGTTTACTGCGACTGATTCTCAAATGCATAAATGCCCAAGGAGTGCCAAAGGTGGGCGTGTACTGCCTCAGGACACAGCTGATAGAATCAGAAACATTTACAAGGGCCCAGAGCAGCACCACGCCTGCCTCCAGCCTGGAGTCCCCTGGTAATTGCACTCATCTGAAAAGGATGGGATGGTTTGTTTCATTAGAAATGCTTGTTCTTAGAACTCCTTGTTTGTCTTAATGGTGACTTATGCAGCAAACACTTGTAAAAACATAAATCATTGACCAGCCATCTTTCAAAAGTGTATTTTTGGTTACTAGTAAAGAGATTGGGATAAGGATGTGTAAATCCATCAACAGTAAAATATAGTATTAAGGTCTGTTTTGATAAGATGGCCAGATAAAATATAAGCTGTCTGATTAAGTTTGTTTCAGATAAGTAATGACAAGAATGTTTGTACAGTCAGTATATCCTATAACGAGACACTAAAATATCATTTGTTGTTCTTGTTTTGAGAGCTGAACGTGGCAACAAGGAGTAACTGCAAATGCACATAAAGGATCTTTCGAGAGCAATGTAAATATTTTAAATTTGGATTATGGTGGCTCCAGGACTGTAAATTTACTAAAAACCATTGAATTTTGTACTTAAAATAGATGAACTGCGGAGTACATTAGTCACATCTAAATAAAGCTTAAAATGGTCTTTTTTAGATGACTCAGAGGCTAACATTTTTATTAATGGGTTAGTTATGTCTTTCTTGTAGTGTTGTGGTGATCAGCAAATGGGCTGATAACAAGGAGAGATGTTGCAAATGCTACAATACTATATAAACAAAGGATACTCTGATAGTATTTCTGCTATTAAGTAGAGCGTGCACCTTTTGTGATTGTAGTTTGCTATTAAAGCTACAACATAAATAATAAATTCTTGCTAGGTGTTATTCTCTGCATTTTTGTTAACTGGAACAACTGGACTTCAGATATTTACTAGTTTAAGATCATATCATGACAAGCATAGAGCCATCAAACCAGAAATTTTCTGAACCTTTCCCAGGGTTATTCCAAAACATTGTGTGCAGTAATGGAGAAAATCTTTTGTTCACCCATCTTTTCATTTTGAACTATAGTGAAAATGTGCAGGTGGACATAAAAGTACCAGGGTAAGAGTGTGTCAAAATGATAGTAGAAATACTTTGTATGATACTCATCACTCCTTTCCTTCAGCAATTCAACAGTTATTTATTGCATACTGACTACGTGTCAAACACTCTGCAAGAGATACAGTGATGACAAATGTGAAAGACACTGCCTCTGTTTTTATGGCTTCCAATAGAAGGGAAATTTCCAGAAGTTTCTTTTTTTTTTTCTTATTTTGTCATTTGTTTTTACATTGTTTCTTCTTGCTTTCTCAGAGCTATTTTTTTACTTAAAGGGTAAATTAGGAGAGATTTTTCTGAAAATCACCACAATAACTCATTCTTATTGCCCATTAACTAATAACAATTTAATATTCAATTTTGTAAAAGTTGTCAATTATTGTTACCAGTAGACTCCTTCAATCTTTTAAATGTACATAGCCATTTGCCAGTATGTTGTTATTGTAAAAGTTACTTTCCATTCAATGTATCTAGATTAAAATAGTTTCTAAGTATTGTGAGATTGGAGGAGTACTATGTCAAGAGACCACTGAATTGTACTTATAGAACTTGGTGGAAGGAATCAGAGACCAAGTGCTCTCTGTAGGATTCCAAGCAGTTATTTGATGTCTGAGTGGCAGTTAGACTTGGGATTTCTGGCTTGATGTGACATAAATTTTAAAAAATCTCCAGTTGTAGCTGACAAAATTTTTTTTTACAATTTGCTTCCCTGACACAATGAAGAAATCAAATTCCTGAAGTAGCTGGCATTTATTATAATTATTATTTTTATAGCTACTCTTGGTATTTCTAATAGTTAATACTGTTACCATGGAGTTTAAACATCAACTGTTGGTGTTGATTGGCACAAAGACAAATGTTCTTAATAAAGAACATATAACCAAAGACTGCTTCCCAGGGAGACATCTGACTGGGCCAGGAGTTATTGCTTTTATGTTCTAATGCATTTCTAAGTATTGGATTTCCAGTCGCTCTGTAAATTCAAAGGCTTCCTAAACAATAAATATACTCTTTTAAGACTTTGCTTGCTTTTCCTATTTCAAAATTAAATTTGAATATGCTTACTTTTATTGTTTTTTAATTCAATTTGAAATTAGTA